AGACATTTCTTAATCGGGGCTTGGAGCCATCTTGTTTCAGTTAAGTTTAGATAGGAAGAAATGCAGTGGTGTTTTCTAGGAGGATGCTGTCCTGAGTGGAGAGAAAGTAAAGTTCTTCGATGTTTGGGAAGAGTATGAAAGTAGAGTACCGTAGGTCTTTCTCACGAGTTAGTTCAGAGCTAATGGAATGGACTGTTTTCTGTTGGCTGTTCAGCAGACTATGTGGTGATGCCTCTGTTTGTGTACAGCAAAGAAAGAGTGGACATTTCATACCAGACTTCTTTTCATAGAATACCTTTGGAAACTATTAATTTTTCAATTTTAAAAATGCACCCATCATGTTCAGTAGACAGATACACAAATTTTGTATTGTTTGAATTTGTACAACAAATAATTTACTAAGTCAACATTCTATACAAACCATATAAATAAGCTTCTTAGGCAAAAGCTTGAGAAAATAGACTTTATACCTTGTTCTTCTTTATTGGACCAACAAGGAAAGCAGATGATACAGTAGAGGCCTCTTCACTGAAAACATTCTGCCAGTAGGATTAGGGATGCTTAACAGGCTTGTCCGCTGACTTCAATTGTCATGGTGGTGCATAACTAAAGAAATGGTCTCAGGTGGTTAAGAGCCAAACCATATATGCCTTCTTATAGAGAATTCTTTGCTTTCAATTGGGCCCAGAAGTGAACAGGAGGCTAACAATCTATGGAGCACTGATGTAGTGTCTGTGGCCAACTGCAGTAGGCAATCAGGCCTTTGCAATTTATACCAGCTGAAACTTCCAAGTGAGAATATCGAGAACGTTATGCTCATCTATTCTGTAGGTCACAAAGGTATGAATAATTGTGAAGTTGTGTAAATCTGAAAAGAAAAGTGATTACAGTTGTTACAGATGCGGTTGGGAAAAGACACTTCTGGCCATTGTACCATCTGGGGCTCAAAAAAGTACCCATAAATTGCAAACCCCCTTGTTTAGGATGAGCAAAATTCAGGGGCAAAATACTATGCCCATCAGCTGCTCTAGAAGCTTCTCTGCAGTGAATAGCCACCTCATTGCTGTCTGGATTCAGCTTCATCAGCTTGCTGTCATCCAAGTCACTGTCTCAGCCAGGCACTGGAAAAGCAAAGAGAGCACCCAGTCTGCAAGCAATGAAAAAAATAAAATTGCATTTCACCAGTGTACTTGTAGCACCTCAGTATAAATTCCTTTAGAAAGCCATTGGACTTGCAGAATTCCTCTAGAAAGCCATTGGACCAGCAAGTCAACATCACCATCTCTGAAAGAGCAGAACCGCTTCAGTGATCTTACCCGCCCACCCAGACAGCTTTTGAAATTGTTGCTTCCATCACTAAAGGGCAATTGAAAAGTCAGCCAAATACAACCAATCAAAAACTGGATTGACAGGGAACAAAGAAAATCTGAAGACTTCACATATTGCCTCATTACTGTATGCTCAATAATTTTATCCAGAAAAGGCATATTTGAGACAGCATGGTAGTAAGAGTGTTGAGATGAAGAGATGGTTATCAGTAGCTTAATTATTGCTCATATGAGAAACACTGGCATCTTGCCCTCCCTTAGAAAGAATTAACACACTCTACCAACAGCAAACAGTGTCTCCCTACTTGATCTTGCTAGCCATGAGGGACATGTCCAACTTGCAAACAATAACCTGAAGTTCCCCCAGCACATCGAGAGTACGTGATGGAAGTTGGCTGAAACTCAACCAGAGATGGTATGGATGTTTTGCCTTCCAGAGGTGGATCTATCCCCACTGATTTGGTCAGTCCAGTCCAGATCAGAACAGATTTTTCTGTGATAACATTAAAAAACTTAGTGAGAAATACTAACCTCTGATTACAGGTGATGCGTCGATACAGAAGAAGTATGTTGCTTTTGCCTCCATGACGGCCATCATACAGCATTTTATATACACTTTTTGCAGTTGATTGTTGGGATACAGCTACCTCCAACCCTTATGATCTGTCAGGATGGTGTAATAAAAACTGGAAAGCAAATGGCTAACCTGTCCTAGCTACTGGTTGAATAATCCACTGATTGTACAACCTTTAGGCCTAAAATGTGAAACTGAATTAGGTCAGAGAGATTTGTTCTCTCTGTGTTGCTGTCTGCAGGTCCCCAAAATTACACCTTTTCAAAAACGAGTGTGCTGTTGGCTTGCCCTTTTGTTTAATGGATGGGAAAGGGGGAAGTAACTGTTCTCCTTATATCCCCTCCATTGGGTATAAGAGGTAATTAGCATAGATAAATGACTGGGCAGGAGACTATAGATGTGAACATCTGAATGGTATTAATTTCTTCTTCTGTTTTTATAGGGTTATCGCCTCTTTCTAATTTCTATTAAAAAAAAAAACGCACCTTGAGGGCTGAACATGACAACCCCTACTCTGGCCACTTATGTCTATGACTATGATCATGGAACTCAATTTCTGACTCTGTCAAAAGACAGACATTTTGTTAATGATAGCTGAGTGGTTGAAGGACCTAAAGTTACTAATAATTTCCAGAATGAACACACTGCTCTCTGAATTAGCAGTTAATACCCCTCTAAGCGGGATTTCCAGGTATACAGTTGTTCAGGAGAAGCTTTTCACCTCCTCTAGCTCTGTACGTAAAGGTCAGTCCTCTGCTTCTGACTACTGTCTCGTGGTTCTACTTCAAATATGGAATTAACTGAGTTCCCATTTCATTTTCAAAATAACTAGTATACAACTTCCAGTACCTGAATTGAGTTAAAAGGTTCCTTACTACTGTCAATTGAACACAGTAAACCCACTCATTGTTCTTAAGTTCTCTGAATACACAACAGCTTCATGTTGTCAGGGCTGCCAACAGAGATCTCTGCTGGAGTGGAGTTTCTCTGCAACTTTACTTCTTCAGAATTAAGGAGCTTCACAGGAAGGAAGCTGGTTGTCAGCCTTCAGTTATTCGGAGCTGTTGAGGGGCTTGCTTCTGTTGAACTGTGGAGCTCCAGTCATTTCAACCTCCATAGGTTTGTAAACCTGCAGTGAAGAAAATTAAGGCTATATTTTGTGGAATTTAGGTAATTGTAAATGTGACCATTTTTCTGAAGAACAGCTACTCCAGAGTATTAGCTCAATATTTATTTTATAACCACATCTTATTCCACTACAGCTAGGTACGGATTACGTGTCTCTGCACTATCAAAGCCCTTGTGCTCAGCTCACCTCACTGTCTTCTTTTGGTGCTCTTTCTCATGGTTTCTTCCAGAGGAGGCAATGTTTTAATTTTCAGCTTCAAAGCGGATTCACTGAGTTGATGCACATCCAACCAGACCTTCTTTTGAGATAGTAGCATCCACTTTCTAGCTGTACTGACTTTCTGTGCCCACATTTTTGTGCTCCTGCCTCTCCCTTTGCAAACACCCCTGCCTTAGAAGGAAGTTTGAGGCTGCTTTTTGCCACTATAATTTGTACCACGCAGACATTCCATTTTCTGTACATTGGTGTATGCCCGCTGAAATCAGCATAAACCAGTAGTTAAGCTGATTCATTCACTTCTAAGATAGCTCCCAATAACTGTTTAAGTAGACAAACATGATCCCGGCTGGGAGTCATATTCAAATTTAAAATTCTTCTTTTACTCTGAAGTCTGTTTTTAAGATCATAACAAATTTTCTGATGAAATGCGGTTTTCTACAGACACAATGGGGTTCTTTTCACTTTTTAAAAATTGTCTTTGGCGTATCTTGTCTTCTCTAGTGCCTGAGATTCAGCCTTTTACCATACAAAACTGTTCTATACCCAGTGATGTTTTTCTTTGCAACTTACAGAGAGAAAGAGGGGAAAATAAAACTAATTGCATTAGCCAATTATAATGATGATGTTCCAGAGTCTGAAAATATCCTACAGCTCCCCTATTTTGACACTCTTTTGGAGGGGTGTGGGTGAATCTGGTTGGAGAATAGCTTGGATTGAATTGGTTAATATATCTAGTTGAGACATCCTTTTTATTTTTTAATTTACCTGATTGATGAAAGGATGAAATACATGTTATTGTTTTAAAATTGTGTCTTTTACACTACTACTTTTGCCATCATCAGCTCCTTTTTAATGATACGTGCTTCACATACTGTCAAAGTTAAGAAATTAGCCCTAATGGATTTGATATCTGCCTCCAAAAGTGGCACTGTACTCCTTTTCATTAGAGGCCATGGATATGATAAAACATAGAAACTGCCATACAAGATCAGATTAGTGATCCATCGAGCCCAGTATCCTTTCATGGACTGAGGATGGTGAAAGGAACTTTATAGTGGACAATTGTGGGAAAACCTACCCATGGTGGAGGTTTCCTTTTAAGCTGAGACAATTAGTAGTTGGCTTGCACCATCATACTTCATGGCATATTTTTGTAGAAAAATGATGAGCTTTGAGGGTCACTTCTATTTTCTGAGCTCAGTTTCACTTCAGAAGAATTATCTTTTTCGTGGGTCTTCCCCAGTCTGTGGTATTTCATGGTGAGCTAGCTGCTAAGTGACTCATTGGATCAGCCTAGGTCATGTGCTGCTGCTTTCAAAGTGGTTTAATTGGGTTTGAACAGAATATATTGTCTGAGATGCTGTTAATACTGGAATCTATAGAACAAACTTCTGATCAGACTTTTCATTCTGTGATATACTTTTAATGTAAGATTGCTTCTAAAAAGAAGTAATATTTTAGTACAATTAAAGTGCTACGCGTTACTGAGAGTTCACAGTTGGTAATAAAATTTTCCTTTGTCATTAAAATAAATGGACTATTATGTGTTTTAAAATTTCTCCTTTATTTGTATGACAAAATATTTTCCCCAAATCTTTATTATGTATTTACCATAATGACTTTAGTTACAAGGTAAAGTATCGTGTCAGAATTATTTAGGAAGTTTGGGAGATATTAGAATTGTCTATTCTGAGCTTTCGATGGAACTGTTTGACATCTAAATTTATGTCTTTGTAACTTTGATTTATAGCCAAGAAAGAAGAGAGGAAAAGACACAAGTCTTCTTCCTCATCCAGCGATTCAGAAAGTTCAAGTGATTCAAAATCTTCCTCTGATTCATCATCTGATTCTGAAAGTGCTTCTGAAGAGAAACCTAAGAAGAGAAAAAAGAAACACAAGAAAAATTCTAGAAAACATAAGAAGGAAAAGAAAAAGAGAAAGAAAAGTAAGAAAAGGTAGGATTATATTGCTATTCTAAAAGACTTTTGGAACCAGACCAAATTTGCTTTTTTAAAAATTTAAATGTAAAACTTAATATATGTTAGTACATATGCTGTAGAAAAATAAATGTTTTCAGCTAGCTACTTTCTTGCTTTGGTGTTGATGTAGGAAAACATTTCTGTGAATACAATCATTTCAGTTTTTGCACATATATAATATAATTCTTTGGTACATGCCTGTTTGAACTAGCACCATTAGGTGTGTGGAGGATTGCAGTATCCTTGATTATTTTTTTGTAAATGACTTCGGTTTTCCTGCTTTAATACTACACTGGCAATAATGTATATGTAACGAGAGCCACTTGTATAGTTTGGATTGAGATTTTCATGTGTTGATTTGTAAAGTTGCACATTGTAAAGTTAATACCTTGACTCATTTTTATATTCATTAAGTTGAATTAATTTATACACAATGAGACTTTTATAATGTGTGATGAGGAGCCTACAGGTCTAAAACGAACAAAATAAAACCTCAAACATATTAACACCTTAATTTACTGATGTGTAACTTGTAATAACTTCTCAAAAATCAGGTGCCAAAGTTAAACTTGTCTGGTGCTTTTGAAAATTTTGCCCAAGCACACCAAAGTCTCCTTAAAAGGCAATGGAACTTTAGGCTCCTAAGTCATTTGGCTGCTTCTGAAAATGTTACCCACAGTTTACTACAGTATTCCCATGCAAAAATCTGACTTAGAGGTAAAGTTGTTATACAAGTGTGTTTTCTTTCAGCGCAACCACTAAGAATCAAGGAAATCATCTGTTACAGCAGTGCTATTCTCCAGACCATCCTCAGCTTCATGTATTTACCGTCTAAACGCACTCAGCTTTCTCATGCTCCCTTTAGATTCCAACAAATAATCATACAATTCCTCACAGTTTTACATTCAAACATACAATCTGAACGTGACCCTTTTTATATAAATTTTCCAAACTCTGTTTCTTCTAAAATAGAGTTGGCTGAAACTTGGGACTTCCAATTTGTGAGAAATTTTGGTTTTTGGAAATTTGATTTCATTCAAAATCAGGCAACCCATGGAGCCAGCTGGCCCAGGAGTCTGGAAGCCCTGGGGTTCCCAGCCCAGGGGAGTCTGCTTTGTGTGGCTGCCCTAGAGTCACAGACCCTGGAAGTCCATCGCAGGACCTCCAGGTTCGCAGCTCTGTGGCAGGGATCCTGGAAGGCCTATGAACCAAAGTTCTCACAGTTTTCATGCTTGTGGCTGAGGAGCTGGGAGCTGGACTCTTCCATGCTCCCAGCTCCACAGAGGGGCTTCCATGCTCCCAGCCTAGAAACCCTGGCATGGCAGGGCTGCGCTCAGAGCTACAGACTATGGATGCTCAGGCTCCCCAGAAAATTAACAACCAGCCCTAATCTAAAGATGTAATATAAGTATATTCAGCAATTCACTGTATGTATGAAAAAATAATTGGTGAAAAATCTTCTATAATGTCAGGTGGGAATACATACATAATATACATCTCTGAGTGAAGACCTCATGGGAGCAAAATGGCAGCTGTTTTTGAAGCCTTAGCCTTTGTTTTATATGTATAAATACTTTCAAATATCTGTAAATGCTTGGGTTGATAACTTTCAGATTTTTGTGCCTTAGCTAGATTTCTTTTTTATTACTACTAAGAAGACCATTAACTATAACCTGCAGAACTCAGACCTTTTCTAAATTGCTCTGATGATGAGATAAATAATTCTTCTCTTTTTTTTTCTATCTGTATCTTCAGTTGACAAAGCTTCTGAAGTATTTAAGTATAGACGGGTTGAGAGGCCTTTCCTGGAAAGCCTGAATCTAAAGTACACAGATATTTAAAACTGAAGCATTGATAGCTTTTTGTTTGTGTATAACTAAAGCTCATCCAGTGAAAGTGAAGATGAAAACCCTGAAGCACAGCCATTGTCTACTGTCCGTCCCGAAGAGATCCCTCCTGTACCAGAAAACAGGTTCCTCATGAGAAAAAGTCCTCCTAAAATAGATGAAAAAGAAAAAGAAAGGAAGAGTAGGGAGAAGGAAAGAGAGAGGTAAGCTTACATGTGTTTTGAGTGGGACTGCACACTGACAATGGTGTGATCAAGTCAGTACTTTTAGATTCATAGGTCAAGTCCAGGTTTCCCATGTGTTGCTTAACCACTAGCACGTTATGAGCAGTGGCACTTCAGATTTCATTAAATGTGCTTGTTTGTAAGGGTGAATAGTGTGGGTATTACAATGATACATTTTAAGGGAATTTTACAAGGAAAACAATGTAAGAAGGAATATAGAAAATTTAAGCCTGACTTACAAATACAGTTTCCACTTGAGATGGCTGGCTCTGGGGACTTACAAACAGTATATGGAGCTTTTCACTTCAAGTGTAGATCACTGCTTTAGTATCAAGTGTTGTATGCAGCATAGTTGTAGCCGTGTTGGTCCCAGGAAATTAGAGAGAGAGGGTGGGTGAGGTAATATCTTTTATTGGATCAGCTTCTGTTGGTGAGAGAGAGAAGCTTTCGTGCCACACACAGTTCTTGAGACCTTTCCCAGATCTGAAGGAGAGCTCTGTATGGCCCCCTGCTTCTCTCTACAACAGAAGTTGGTCCAGTAAAAGATACTACCTCACATGCCTTGACTCATTAGTATCCAGTGGAAATTCAGCACCATATTACAGTTCAGTGGCTCATATGAAATATTATGTTTCTCAATCCAGTTTGTGATGAACCACCTTAAATTGGACACTGATTCTTTCTGCCATACCTCATTAGACCAATAGTTAATCTTCTCTAGTATCTTATTACTGACTATAGCTACTACAGAAATTTCTGAGACAAGTACAAGAAACATTATAATGGATAGTTATGAAATAAACTGTCCATATAGGAAATGTATTCCTGACCACATGCAGTTAGTGGTTTACTTATGCCTTGGAGTGTAGAGATTTATATTCCCTGTACTACACAAGATAAAAAGTATATCTGTTGTTCTTGATATATGTGTATAATTCTCTTACTGTGCTCTTGGCCTCAATGTTATCTTGTGGGAGGGAGTTCCATTGGACAGGCAGATGAATCTCAGCATTCTAAATTCTCTCTCCAGATCAAGGCTGGAGCACACTGGTCAGTTAGTGTAGTCAGTCTCGTACTGCACAAGCCATGATGGTACAGTACCTATCCTGAGGCTAAACAGAGTTGTTCACTCCTTATGGCTGTCCCTGGAACATTTCACAAGCTGTAATTCCTCTGCAAATTATTATTTATTTTTGCAGCACCCAAAAGAGTGCTTAGACTCCTCTGAGAAACATTTAAAGAGACCAGGTCCCTATGCTTAAGAATTAGACAGGACAAATTTAGGCAGAATGAACAATAGGGATGAGGAAGGGCCAGGCTTATATTATGATGACACAGTGACTTTGTTTTGGCATGTACATGTATTGAGATGTTCCTATGCCAAGTTTTTTCCAAAAATCTGTAAGGGAACACTTATTCTCCCATCTGCCCCTAAAAGGATTTTTTAAACTTTGTATGCTTTTTTATATACTATGAATAGGATGATAATATTTAAAGTAGTGAAGTGATGACCATTAGTTATTATCTGAATTGGCTGGAGAGTGATAATTAATCTTTGTTTTCATTTGGGCTGACTTCTTTTAATTTGCGAAAGAACCAATCCAAAATAGTAGTGGAGTCTGTCTCAATGATCTTTTCCTGTCTTTCTCCCGCCACAATTTTTAAAACAATGTAATAGACAGCATCAGTTCTCTTCTATTTTAGTAATCCATCAAATTCCCAGTCGTCATACCAGAGAAGGCTTTTAGTGACCAGATCTGGAAGGAAAATAAAAGGAAGAGGACCAAGGGTAAGTGTAAACAAAGAAACAAAACCAAAAAAAAACCCCAACCTTGGTATGTGGTGGTGATTTTCACTTTTATAGCACATATCATCTGAGGATCGCAAGGCAATTTCACATCCCTCTTGGGAAAGAGGAAGGGTGGGATTATGCCCATTTTACAGATTGGCAAAATAAGGCATTGAGGTTAAGTGATTTAATCATATAGTGAGACACTAATAGAGTTGGGAATAGAACCCAGAAGTTCTGACTCCAATCCTCCTGGTCTGTGCACTAGCTATTGCTCACTAAATACATTTAAAAGAAAATTGTTTTTAATGTTGAAGTTTTTAGAAGAAAACTACATCTGTTTTGCTGAAATTACCTGAAAGTTCAAAAGCATGAGTTGTTAATCATTTGGAATAAACTGTAAAATCTTAAATACCACTGGCAAAATCTGAGTTTATTGCCAGTGGTCCCATGAAAAAGTAACATTAATTTGTTATGCTTAGTGTTGAAGTCTGGTGGAAGAGATTGGTTAAGCATTTTCCAAATTGCTTTAATATTGGTTTGAGAAATAGTGTCTTGTTGTAATAGGTCCCCTATGCTGAATTTCATACCTGGATGCATGACAGGTGAAATTGTGTGTAGCTCAAAGCTCTGAGTTGTTGAGCTACCAACTGGTAGGAAGTGCATGCCTTCCTGCTTGATTGTTCCAGTGTCCAGCAATGCCACTCCTCTGCTCATTTAGAAATCCACTTTTGATATATATAAAAGTAGCAAAGCCCAAACAATCCCCAACTCTGAGGGAAAAGTCAGTGGTAATCTTCTTATCTGTATAAATCTTCAGAAAAACAGTAAGCAGTTTCCTTCAAAGGATCCAGTGTACAACAAAATTCTACTTTATAGAGAACAGAAAACTCTAAGAATGTATCGAACAGTTTTTAATATTAAAAAAATCCCAAAGTTACTGACAGGCACCAGCAGAAAATATGGCTCAGAAAAACAACCTAGTTCCATCAAGTGCTGACATGTCAGGTGCCAGAGGTTTGAGAGTCAGGATAGGAATCTGTAATAACAATAATCCTCAATAACAAAATTCCAAGTAAATTATTTTTTCATGATTAAATTTTAATAAAGTCCACTCAAGTTAGATTGTTAAATCAGGTTGGCGGTTTCTGTTGTACTCTATACTGTGACACTGAGGCAGCATCTATACTAGGGGAAATGCAGAAAAAACATTCCCACTGATACTAATCCTAGATCAGCTGGATTTGTGGGAGCTCAAATGTAGATTCATCATCAATGGCTGAATCCATTTTTATCATCATTTCAGCTGAAAGCAAGCCTAACTGAAATTATGGTAAAAAGCAGGCCAGAACCTGAGACCTTATCCACTTAATGGTACGTTGGGATGGCTTTTGAGACCTTATCCACTCAGTAGCCCCCAAGATCCTATCCACTTGGGTCCCATGAACTCAGCTCAACTCTGAACTCTTCCTTGAGGTTTCTTCTTGATTGGCGTACAATCAAACTACACTGGAATTGATCAGGCTCAAGTGTAGGGGATGGGTACAGAGCATATCACACATCTAAATTCACAGCAAACCTCTTCTTTTGTATAAATTTACACATTACATTGCATCCATGCGTTTTGGGATTGGTTTGGTTCCTACAAAGTGACTAATCTCTGTACAGCATGCTCTGCCCATGCATGACTTACTCTTTACCTCATCTTATGTTCCAGGCTTATCTTGGCCATTTTAAATGGTTTCCTGAGTGTTGCCCCTTATCTTTGCTAGTACAAACATTCTGTCTGTTCGCCTACTGACCCATTTACCTATCTTAGCTAGTACAAACATTCTGTTTCCAGCCTGCTGATCCACTCACCTCCCTAATTCTGTCTTTCAAGAAATGAGGCCTCACCCATGTCCAGTTACTCATGTCAAGCCAGGCCTACAATGATGAACATTTGCAATAGCCCTTAAATGTTAAAGCTAATGGTGAAAATTTATTTATTATCACCAGAGTATTGCTCTGGTGATGCTTAGCAAAATGTTATGGGAGTTTTCATTGCAGGACAAGGCTGAGCAGCATTCATCCTGATGAAGAAAATTCTTTAAACTTGATATAATATCTCAAAGATTTTCAGGTTCAAGCCCAACCATTCTTTTTCAAACAATAATACCTGGCTCTTACATAAAACTCATTTAAGGTCTTTTGGAATTTCTGAGATTGCTGTGTGGATATATGATCAACCATTTGGGGTATCCATTTTAACTGAATATAAAATGTAAGTGTATTATTTTTGTATTTCTATAGTGCCTAGGAGCCCTAGTCATTCAGTACATAATTTTCAAGTGCTTGTGTGTTTGTTTGTTTCCAAATATGGCTCAGATTCCATTCCTTCCAGAACCACCTATATGCTGCGTATATATTTGAAAATAAAGCCACTTTTGAGTTACTTGAATGCAATAAACCAGATTCAAAATTTTTAATAAAAAATGCCCCCAAAACCCCTCCCTTACTCTCTCCACGCCCTGCACTCTCAACTCCAAAACGGCATTTTGCTCAAACTTGCAAAGAAAGCTGCTTCTTGGCCCAGAGAGTAAGCACAAGAAACGTATGGGGGAAAAAATTTTTTTTGAGGAAGCAATTAGTGAGTGAAAATGGGGATTAAAAATGACATGGTTCTTTAACCTTTTATGTTAGTGAGAGGCTTAATAAAGTGCTGGCAGGCTAAACTGATTTTCAGGAGGGAAATATTCTAGTTTATAAAGGCTGGTAGATTTGCACCAAGATACTTTGCATATCAGAATTCAATAGCAAATGCAACAAAAAATGAGCTTATGAGACTGCGTTGCAAGTTTTTATATTTCTTCACTAACTTTTTTTTCCAGATAATGTTATACAGGTGTTAACCTTTATTTTCAGTGCTTTTACTATGAAGTTTGACTGCAGTCCAGAGGTGAGATTCTCTCCTACTTGCTGGTAAAGGGGCCGGAGCAATGTAAACTGGCTCTAAAAGCCCTGGATCCAGTCAAGGGTAACTGAGGAAGACAGCTGCAGACTATCTTCTTTGGATTCCCCCCACCCTAAACCCTAGTAGTGGGGATGGGAGGGGCATGTCAGATATAGGGGAGTCCTCGTAGCCTGAGACAGCTATGTGAATTGTCAGTTACTATAAGTTGTGGAGCAGTCCATTGGCAGACTGTGGGAGGAATGTTGTAAATTATACCAGCTTTCAGAATTGATTTATGCTAGCAGCCAGTCTGGCCCTCAGAGCAGCCCAGAACGTAAGTGCTGTAAAGATGACATAAATCCACTTTTGCTCCTTTTTCTGCTGGGCTGAGTTCTGTGCTGCATTTCTGGTAGGAGCAACTCAGAATCTCACCCCAGATGTATGAGAAATCTTGCATACTGTGGAATGTTAAACTCTGTTGTATCTAACATTCTTTCTTTTTCCCTTCTCAAGCGCTATCGGACGCCTTCCAGATCCAGGTCAAGGGATCGCTTCAGACGCAGTGAGACTCCTCCACATTGGAGGCAGGAAATGCAAAGAGCTCAAAGAATGAGAGTTTCCAGTGGAGAAAGATGGATAAAGGGAGACAAGTAAGACACTGCTTTTTTCCTATATACATTGGAATTTCCGTCTAGAATACGGTGGTGCCTTTTTGATCTGTTGTATCACAGTGAATTTTTTTTAGTCTCAGAATATGTGGTTTTGGCTTAGTTATCTCTTTCCTATCTTTGCTTTATCCCTTTTAAAGCACCCCTCTTTATGGTTATGGTAACTGTGTAGCCATTAATGTAGATGTCATAATACAAATTAAACTTAATGTGATGATTAACAGTTTCAGGAGTGAAGTTACTTCTTACTTTTCTTTAGTTCAAAAGATTTTAAAATAAATATTTTCTTTCTCCAAGGGGTGAAGTAAATGAAAACAAGAAAGATGTTCAAAAAAGCCCTGGGAGAGGAAAAGAGAGAAAAGTATCAGACCACAGACAAGTCTCTGAGAGTCCAAACAGAAGAGGGGAAAAGGAGAAGAAGACAAAAGACCACAAATCCAGTAGTAAAGACAGGGAGACAAGGAGGAATTCAGAAAAAGACGATAAGCATAATAAAAGCAAGGCCAAGAAAAGAGCTAAATCTAAAAGCCGGAGCAAAAGCAAAGAGAAATCAAAGAGCAGAGAAAGAGACTCTAAGCACAACAGACATGAAGAAAAGAGAGTGAGGTCAAGAAGCAGAGAGAGGGATCATGAGAGAGGTAAAGACAAGCACTATGATTCTAGAGGGAGAGCTAAAGAAAGGAGCAGAAGTAAGGAGAGGTGTAAAAGTGCAGGATCAAAAAGTAATGAACAAGATCACAGTAAAAGCAAAGATAGGGAGAAACATGCTAAGTCAAGGAGCAAAGAACGTGAGCAGACTAAAGGAAAACATAGTTCCAATAATAAAGCAAGAGAACGGAGCAGAAGCAGAGACAAGGGGAAGAGAGCCAGATCTAGAAGTAAAGACAGAGACCGGAGTAGAAGTAAAGAGCATTCAAAAAATGAAGATAAAGAAGCAAAAAGAAAAGGAAGATCAAGAAGTAGAGAGAGAAAAGGCACACCAGAAAAATCTAAAGGAAAAGAGAATAAGAGGAGGAGAGACTCAAGGAGCCATGAAAGAGAAGAAAGTCAAAGCAGAAACAAAGAGAAGTATCTGAACAGAGAAAGCAGAAGTTCACATAAGAAAAATGACGCTGAAAGCCAAAGGAAGAAGCGTTCAAAAAGCCATGAAAGTAGTAGCCCTGAGACCAATAAAGATAAAAAGGCTAGTAGAGATCAGGATAAAAGTCCAGACTCAAAGAGAAGACAAAGCAGTAAGGATAGAGAATTTAAAAAATCGTCTACACACAGGAGTAGGGAAAAAGAGAAGACTAGATCCTCATTAGAAAAAGAAATTAACCAAAAATCAAAGAGTCAGGAAAGAGACCATGCCGATCGTAAGGATAAAAAGTCTGATCACGAATCAAGTCCTGGAACAGATGAAGACAGACGTGGATGAGCTATGGACTTGTTGTTTCCATTCTGTCTCAAAGTTTGAGACATTTTGGGGAACACCTTTTTTTTTTAATGTGGACTTCAGTTTGGTCTTTTGATAATCTAAAACCTGGATCATTTGTACCGCGAAAGTTTTAATAAACTTGAAATGAGAAACATTTTATGTGTAATACAGTGTGCTGTGTTTTAACTGTTTCATTGCTTGTGTATCCTTTTTGTGTGTTGACAGCCAGGGGAATACCTTCTGTGTTGCATATACATTTTTAATTTATAAACTTGTTTGGCCCATTGCAAACATATGACTGTCTTGTAAAGAGGCTTTTTTTGGTTGGGGGCAGGGAGAAGCTTCAAATATATTAAATGTCCTTTGAAGCTAGTAGAACTCTGCCAAGCTGTGTCTGTCACTACAATGTAATTATATTCCTAATACAGTAGTTAAAAAGCCTAAGGAATGGATGTGTGGGGGACAGAGATTTTGTAATCACAAAGTGAAATAGTTTCATTGAGCCTCCTCTCTGCCTGAACTGCTGTCATGTACTGTTGATCAGTATAACAGTAGAATTCATTTCTTCTGTGGGGCAGCCATCTGCACTTGGGACCCATCTCTTTGGGAGAAATAATATTTTCATAGAAAGCTTTTTTTGTTCGTTTTTTTTACAAAAAGGCTAATCATTCAATGTGAGTTTTTGTAATGTTCCTTTTTCTGTTTCCTGCTTCCATGGTCGCAGTTTGTCTTTGAGTGCCACCTTATTTTTAACTTGCCTACTGTGGAAAACCCAACTTCGGATGCAGCAGCTAAATTTTTGAGGAAAGTCCTTTCCTTATCCAGTTTAATTGCTGGTTAATTGATTCACAGAGAGCGAGTGATTCCCCAGAATTCATACTATGACTGGATTTGCACCTGGGAACTCCTGGTTCCTAATTATGTTTAGTAACCACTGCCTCATTAAAAATCGAATAGAAGAGCAGAGCTGTTCGTTAGGGACTGACCATAGTTTAGCATAGTGAGCAGTGATGAGTCATCTTGGTTTCTGTAGCCTAAAAGCATATTGGAGGGTCAGCAAATCGATGCACTCCTAAAGAAGTGCCACCACACTACTGTAATGCTACTATTGTGTTATGAGAACAGTAATAACTTGCTATTTTAGTATTGGATTTGGGCAAATCTCAATATTGAGTTGACTATGACATTGATGCCTGATACCACTGCATTGTTACAGGTCTGTCAGGCATTTTCATTATACAACAGACCCCCTCATTCTGAACATGTGCATTGTTGTTAAAACTTGCCTGAATTCAGTGTAGTGATATCCAGAAAATTAAGGAAGGAACAAATAATTACTTGTTTTAAGGGGCAGAGGAGGAGATGGGGGAATGCAGGATGTTGGTAAACCATGTGGACTGGCCTGTGGGTGAATAAAACTAAAACTACAAAGTTGTTTGTTTGTTTTTTTAAATTAGAAAAGTAACTGGAGCTCCTGTGAACTATTTTTCATAATGTTTTTAATACACATTTTGCATGTGGTGTTCTTAATGCAGAATGGGTAAGAATGCCACACAAGCCCATTAAAGGGTGTGAAAAAAAACTGCTGCTTAAGAGGGGTTGTGATAATAATGAAAGATCCATAAGAGATTCTTTGTCACTGGATTGGACATGAAACAACTATGAACCCAGTACCGTGTCTGTAAAGTTACAGAACTGCATCTGATCCAATCACATTGTTTTGGGGGTGACACTAAACAAAAGCAAAGAAATTAAAGTTAAGAGCACTATCAGGTTACTTTGGGCCCAGCCTACCTTGACATATTTATAATTGAGTAGGGATATAGTGTGCTCCAGAGTCTCTCTAATTTAAAAAAGGCAGTTAATTGGAGGATTTTTTCATTATTTTTGTAGGGCCTCTGTACAAATAAATAAATTATTGTTCTGCCTCTGCTGGTTCTTCAGCAACAATTAACCAGCAAGCGGTATTTGCATTGCTATGCATATGCCTGCTGTCATCACTGAAGCTTGTATAAAATCAAAGTAGCAAACTAATAAGTAGCTATGTTGGCTCCTGCTGCATAGGAATTCAGGGGGGAAAACTGCCCAATATGTGTGGTGGGGATAAAAGACAATCAGTAGAAAATAATTTTCAAGGTTAAGACTATGTTGCAATCAAAGACTAAAGAAAGTGTTAACGTGTATATTTAAGAAGTATTTCCTTTTAAAATGGAATTCTTATTGGATAGAGGGGTGAAAAATAAGTCCTCCAATTGCTATTTCAGTATAGTTTTGGGAAAGATAAGTTTGTATGGTCTGTTTATTTAAGAAGTTAAAATATATTTTATACCGTTTCATATATTGCCTCCCTTGTTTTGTTGCAAAAAATTATTATAATAGTTTTTTATGTTCTTATACTTTCTTTGTAGCTGATTTAAATCCAGTTGAGGAGATAGCACCATAGATCAGTCACTGATTAATGCAATAGAATTTTGTAGTATGGGGAATTAGGCGGTACAGTTTTAACTACACATGGTGGGATCTTCAGAAGCACTTGATGTTGGCCTACCTCTGCTCATGCTAAAATTGATGGTAAATTGGGCAAAGGCTGATTGCTTTTGAAAATCCTACCCACAGTTGCTTAGACAGGGAACTGAAATATAAATATTTTATTTCAGGTAATTTAAACAATGCTTGTGGTCTATCCAGCATGGAAAGCATATTGTACACTGTAATGGGAAAAGCTGTTTTTCTAACTAATCTCCCAAAATTGGTCCACTCAAGAGTCTTTATGTGCCACGGTGCAAGAAAAAACAGTAAGGACAGGGAGAGAGTGTGGTACTGTCCTTGTTAAGGATATTCATTTCATTTTTATCAAAGCCATCTTGTGATGCATTAAGTGCACATGCTGATAAAGTGGATTTCCAAACCCTGACAAAAGAGTGCACGGCTAATGTAATGACCTGTAATGATTACTGATTTTATAATATGGAATTGAATGCTATGTGCAATGTGATTGAAGAATCGAATTATTGTTTCTTTGCAAATTTTATCAGAACAAGCCCAAATTTGTTGTTGGGTATTCCTGAAGCCATCATTAACCTAGAAGTACAGACTCTTCCTTGAAGATGGATGTACTGTGCAATTTTTCAAAAGCCATTTCCTTTTAAAGACATGTTGCCGTATTCTAATTTTTTGGTTTTTACATAAGAGTAACCACAGTGTTAGTGTTTAAAAAGGCCCTGGGTCAAGTTTCCCTCTTCCAATCCATCTAATTATCAACATTACCTTGTAAAAGGTCATTTTCTATTAGAATTGTCACACTATGGACTCCTTATGACATTAATTCTCCATTGGATGGCTTCAGGTATTTACTGATGACCATCCCAGAGGGATGTCTAGTTTATAAATGCGGCAAAGAGTCCTGTGGCACCTTATAGACTAACAGACATATTGGAGCATAAGCTTCCATGGGTGAATACCCACTTTGTTGGATGCATGACGAAGTGGGTGTTCACCCACAAAAGCTTATGCTCCAATATGTCTGTTAGTCTATAAGGTGCCACAGGACTCTTTGCCGCTTTTACAGATCCAGACTAACCCGGTTACCCCTCTGATAGTTTATAAATATTACTCAGTCTTGCAAATAGACTTCAACATAATATAAACCTTAATTGAGGTTTGTTTCTGTTCTCTCATCTTACACTCCTTTCCTAGAATAGTTGCTATATTAAGGGGACAAAATATTTCTGCTGGACACACCTTCCAGGTGTGCATTTGATTTACTGCTTAGGTTACTGGCAGAAGAATATTTATTACTGAATTTTAGTAAGACTCCTGTTATGCTATAAACCCTCAGAAGAAACATACTGTACGTTATCCGATATATATCTTTCTAAATTGCCTTCCATTCTTGTCTATAGTATTTGGAAGAAGTCTGTATGAGAAAAGAGCTGGATATCTGTTTTTCTACATGTGTGATGTGAATTAATTTCTAATGTCTGCTTAATTTCCAGGAGGAAATGAGAACACACAAAACTTCACACTTTCGTAATCCCTAAAGTCACTGTAGTGTAAATTTTAAGAAACATTACACATTCTTTCACATGATTCTCTGGAACAATACTTCATTTAGAATCATTTATCCAAGAAATTTAAATCCTACCCAGATGTCTGCAAACTAACTGCATTTTGCAGAATTTAGATTCCATACCCTTAAGTCTGCTTGTGTAAGCATTGTATGGTAAATGAAACCTTTGATGTGTTCAGTTTTTGGAACTGTCACCTCTTGAATGTAGATTTATATTTGATGTAAATTTTACCCCTTACCATTCAGAACAATTAAAATCCCAAAGTAGTTGGGAGTACCAAATTAGCAAAATGACACTGTTTTTCTTTTTCGTTAAGGAACACAATGCTTAAACAAGAAAACAAAACAAAAACAAACAAAAAACTCCAAGCTCTGATCTCCAAAATAAAATTTAATGTTCACTGTGAAATTTCAGGGAAGAGGCAGCAATGACAAAAGATAATCAAATGGTAAGTTTGGGCATTTTAAAGTCAATTCAAAGGGAAAGTATAAGTAACAGGATTGTATGTCTTGTTTTGATAAATCAAGCTGAAGTAGTACCCGCAAGGTGCTCCTATGAGCAGCCCCAACTGAAACCAGTGAGGCTGTTCACATGAGCAAGGACTGCAGATCAGTCCCTTGAACTGCCAACTGTGCATGTCTGTACTCCATAAAGTATTAAATGTGTGCATTAATCAATGTTCTAATGGTAATACGTTGAACATAGACTAGAACTTGCACTAATGTAATGCAATAGTTGACTTTTTTGGTTAAAAATTTTGCAACATGCAGAGCATGTTTGTAGGAAAACTTGCAGTGATTTTTCTGCAAGCATTAAACCCTTTTATACATCTGTCCCTGTAAAATAAGTATATACATTGTGTTAACTTTGCTGTAACTGTTAACTTTTACATGTATTTTTTTACTGTGAATGATTTATTTGAAAGAAAGAAAAAAGTTAGGCCTAGTTAATTTTGTGAGCTGTGGTAACAGGAGCTATCTAGTTATTGGTTTGCTGCAATAGCTAAGAATTGTAGTGATAACAAAGTAATCTGAGGTCTCAGTCTCATGGAAATTTTTAATCTGTAGTTCTCTAATGGGAGAAC